ACACACACACACACACACACACACACACACACACACACACACACACATGCTGGCCTCTGCGTGGGCTCTCTGTCTCCCTCTCTCTAACCCAGGCCTGTTTTGGGAGGGACGGTGTTTGGTGGAAGGCAACAGAGTGCCCATTCATCCTCCTCGCTCCCCAGGGAGTCAGGCCCATGCATCACGTGACCCCAGCAGGCAGCCAGGCTGGCTCTCTCTTCCTCTCCTGCCAGAGGGAGCTGCTGTGAATCAACCCAGCTCTGTCAACACGAGGCCAGAGCTGCTGCTGTTGCCTGGGCCCTCAAAGCAACGTGGCAACACACTCTCACACATTCTCCAGTTCTCTCGTTAAGAGAGACAGATTTTTGGTTTTCGGAAAAATCATCAATTGTGAAGATTTGTGCGATTTAACTTTTTGTTTTCAAAGCAGGAAAGCCCGCTGAAGGGTTAGATCAGTTGTACTGGAAATGCACTTGATGCAGCATCTCAATATGGTCATGCAACAAAAGCAAGATGCACTAAATTCAGACTCTCCTAAATGACATCCTCATTATTCTGTTTCTGTCTTTTCTTAACTGGCCTAAATCTGCCCTACTGATTGTTGTAAATTCACTCCGCAGGACAAAATGTTCTTTTGACCGAAATTTCAACCCATAATTCATTGAGACTGGCTTCATGCTCTCAGGTAAATCTGAGTTTCTTACCTGTGTAGATGGTCAGCAGGACCAGGCAGAGCAAAAACACCACCAGCTTCTTCATCTTCTTCACCTTTTTCCTGTCTGAGGCTTCTCTGCTCTGAGGTCCTGACCAGAGTCCAGGGGGGGTGAAGGGGGAAATTCTCCTCCTCCTCCTGCACGTCACCCACAAACTGTCACATACGGGCTCATGTTACTGAGGCCATGTTTCAAATAAACCACGATCAGTGATGATACATTTACTCACATGGAAATATGAATCATATTAGCTCTAAAGCTGCAAAATGACTATGCAGGAACAATTGAAAGCACCTATGGTCTATTGAGGCAAATGGGAAGCTGTCCACTAGATGGCGGTGCAAACACAGTCATGTAGAGATGAGAGGCGCTTTTAAGGCTGTTCAAACCATTTCAGTAAGTGATGAGCTTCGTGTAAACGGTCGTGTATTTTACAGATTCAGGGCGATTCCCCTGTTTCAGCAGGTAAATGTTTAGGTTATCTAATTTTTGAGAATATTCATCTACCAAGACGGGTTCTATTATTAGTGACCATGTGTTGGGGGCCCTGTCATGTAGTTTTAAGAGCTCATGTATATGTATGATGAAGTTGTGTTCAATCATATTACCACAAATATATAACACAAATTAAGCATTATTTTAGCACAGGCCTACTGGTTGCTCTTGGATTCGTGTGAACTTGGATGCAACAAGGTAAAACAGTGAACAACACCTAGCCTATGTCATGTATCAGCCCATCAATTTCCTTTGTTTATCTTACATCATGATTGTTTTATTGTGTTATTATTTTTCCTTTGCTGTCACAATGACATTATTTCTGAACAAGGACCATAAAGGTTTTACATAATCTAATTATAAATTCACTTGTTACTGTGTTTAAACACTTACCTGCCTAAGTATCACCCTAGATTGTTTTTTATTTATTATTTCTAATTCATGTATTCCTATAATGGATTGGAGCCCTGCCATTGATATGCGAAGGAAAACGTCATTGTGCGTCACTGTTTCCGTTTCCGCTTCTTGCTGCCCTCCCCCCTCCAGTGGCGTGCGCACTTTAGTGATAATGTTGCTTTGGTTAATTCCTGGTGCATAGGAAAGCTTTTATTCCCTCAATATGATTATCTAACACGCCATTGCCATTGCACAATGCAGCGCAGAGCGCATGCGTGCTGTGGAGCAGCAGTATGCACATCAGGGAGCTCAGAATCAGAGATGATATAAAAGGTGAGAGGTAACATGTCTTCTTTTCCTTGTTCGCTTAAATATCAAACGGGAAATAATGGAGATATTTCACATTTGGTCCTGTCTTTTTTTCTTTAGAGTAAAGTATTTCTTCAAAAAAATAATACTTTTGTTCTACCACCTCTGTGCCTGGTATCATTCATTAACACATACACACTTATCTGCTAATCATTTGTCCTCAACTGCAATGGCCATGTTAATTAAATGTCTTTGAAAAGGTATAAGTGCACTTGGCCATTGTACCACTGGTGTTGAGAGTAGCATAGCTTACATTAACTAAAGCACAGTTTTGACATATTTGAAGCCTAATTTACTAATGTATTTCCATTTAGTACTATTCATCTTCTGCTCCACTACATCACAGAAGGATACAGTGTAGCCTACTGTTTACTCCACTATTTTGCATGATGATAAGCTAATAAAATACAATACAAAAGCAGTATCTACTTGGGGCCACAGACGCTTGTACATTTTAACAGTTGTATGAGAGGGCCAAATAGGTCAAATTATCCAATACTTCACTAAAATAGATTACAAATGTCACCAAAACAAAAGAAAACAGATTTGTGGGGCAGAACTTTGTTTTCCCTCTCCTATTAATCATCTCATCATCTATCTTGTGACCTGTTGGAAGGGCCTGACCCCTAGGTTGAAAACTACTGGACGAAACTAAAATTAGCTCCAACAAAAAATAAATGCTGCTTGATGCATCAGTTTAAAAAAATTAATAATAATGTCATGTACAACCAGTCACAGGGGCATTCTTCTGCAGAATGAGGAAACTAATTTTGTACTTTGTGAATTTTGAATGCAGGGTATTTCACTTGTAGTGAAGCATTATTTTCATTGTTCTATTTGTACTTTTACTCAAGAAAAGGATTTGAATACTTCTTCCACCCCTGACAAGGACCATTCTGCAAAACCCAGCCCACATGTGATACTTATGGAAGCCTACATTTGATTCCTAATACTGTACCCCTATAATGCTACTTAAACAATTGACTGCAGGACTTTAACCTGCAGTGGAGTATTTGCTAATTTTATATTGCTAATCCTTGTACTTGAGTAAAATTAGCTGAATACTTCTTCCACCACTGGTTGTACACTGTAGCGTAGCGTACTGTACTGCACGCAGTTGTACGTATTTGCGTTTCCTCTGTGTGTGAACTGAACTATCTTGACATTTTATCATCTCTGATGAAGCTACGGTAGCGCGGTAGCTCATTGGTTCGACGTCACATCGCTGTCTTCTTGTTTATAGCTAGTTATACATAAAATGAATGTTCAGATTAAAGCTGGTGTTTGTACCAGTTAAACATTGGTGTCGGTGAGCATGCGTGTCGCGGGGAAAATGTGGCGTGCGTCCCGTGCACAGTCTCTCTGACATCGCTCCTCTCTTCACAGCTTTCCGCTCAATAGCATCATCGCTAACGTCCAGCAGCGATGCACAAGGAAGAGGATGAGGTGCAGGACGACTGCGGTTCCCGGGAGGAGTGGACGCTCCTGTTCTGGACCTCTCTGGCCGTCATCGTCCCGGTCATCGTCACGATGTGGTGCAGCGCCCAGCGCTCGAAGCGGAAAACGCACATGAAGGATTTCTTTCGCAAGAGCAAGCACGGCTGGCACTACACAGACCTGTTCACCAAGCCCACCTACTGCTGCGTCTGTTCCCAGCACATCCTCCACGGGGCTTTCTGCGACTGCTGCGGCGTGTGCGCCGACGAGCAGTGCCTGCGCCGGGCCGACCGGAGCCTAACGTGCAAGGAGATCATGGCCCCTTGTAGCCCGGGCGGAGCCATGGAGCACCGCTGGGTCCGCGGAAACGTTCCCCTCGCCAGCTACTGTGCAGTGTGTAAACAGCAGTGCGGGACCCAGCCGAAGCTCTGCGACTTCAGGTAGCGTACGGGTGATGCTACAGGTGCAGCCGCATGTGTAGGAGGCCCACTTTAGTGTGTGTGCTCGACATCTGCAACTGTGTGCGTAAAAGAGGTGCTTTTTGCCTTTTACACCCGAAGAGCCCCGAGGCACAATAGTGAGGTGCAACCACATTACATTTTAATCTGTCTTTCATTTTCTCTAATGGACTCTCTGGGATAGCAGCAGGGCACAAACTGGCTTAATCTCATATTGTCAGATAAATGACTCTGCTAATCCTAATAATGACTGGCAGTTTCTCAGGTCAGAGGTCAGCGTCAGAGACAGACCAGCACCCCTGCAGCTAGTAGAGGTTCAGGGTCTTGCTTCTTTCAGCAGGAATTGCTTTTGTGTATTTTCTTGCTTTTCATAGTGTGTGTGTGTGTGTGTGTGTGTGTGTGTGTGTGTGTCCCTCTGCCTTCAGGTGTGTGTGGTGTCAGACCACAGTGCACGACGACTGCATGGACAGCCTGATGGCTGCAGACCAGTGTGAGCTGGGCGAGTTCCGCAACCTCATCATCCCTCCTCACTACCTCTACCGCGTCAACAAGCTCCGCCGCAGGCACCCCGACGAGTACAGCAAGGTGCCTCAGTGTGCTCATGCTGTGGGTTTTATTTGGTGTGCCTGAGGTGTTTTTTAAGCGGTGTCTGTGTGTTTCTGTAGCTGGCTTCGTCCTGTGGCAGTGGCTGGACTCCAGTGTTGGTCTTGGCTAACACACGTAGCGGTAACAACATGGGGGAGGCTCTGCTGGGAGAATTTCGCACCATTCTGAATCCTGTGCAGGTCAGGATGGAGCTTCTCCTACGTTGTCTTTAATCTGATCAAATCATCCTTTAACTTTCCCTTTAGTTGTCAACTTAGTCAGCATTCAAATTTCTGCTCAAAACATGTCTTTTCTCCTCCAGGTGTTTGACCTGTCTGAGCTGACTCCCCCCAAAGCCCTCCAGCTGTGCAGCCTGCTGCCTCCCGGCAGTGTCCAGGTGCTGGTGTGTGGGGGCGACGGCACCGTGGGCTGGGTGCTGGACGCCATCGATACTATGAAGCTGAAGGTCAGAGCGGATTGTCTCTGAGCTATGAGAAGGATTTTTATTACAATGTGGTATTTTCTTTATCCCCCTGCGTACCACCACTCCTCTGTGCCTTGTTACCAACATACCCGCTGCTCTCGTATTGTCCTGTTTCAGGGCCAAGACCAGTTCATGCCGAGGGTGACCATCCTGCCCCTGGGGACAGGAAATGACCTTTCCAACACTTTAGGCTGGGGTGCCGGGTACGCTGGAGAGATCCCCGTGGAACAGGTTCTCCGTAACATCCTTGATGCCGAGGTGGTCAAAATGGACAGGTGGGGCAGTAATACAAGTTGCAGTCTTTGCTTTGGGAATAACAGTATGATATCAGCTCAGCAGCTTATGAATTGTACTGTTTGATTTGTCTTACAAAGTACACGTTCCTCAGTTTAGAAGCTGTGGAAGATTTTGTCAACAGCTTAATAAGAAGAGTAAAGGTCTCAAAAAGTCTAAATTGATGTTAGAACTTCATCTAGTTTGTGTTCATTTTAACGCTGTGGTCGTACCTTCTCCATTTCTTTCTGTTAATTTGAGTTGTTTTTTTTAAGAACTCGTGACAAGTTCAACAATTAAAACTTGTATTTTAGAAGCTTGATCCAGTATTTTTAGACTCAATATATTTTAATTTCTTTAAGGCAACAAAGTGCTCAAGTAAATGGATCAGTATTTCATCTCCATTTCTAAAATCCTTGCTATCACCCTGTTTGAGTTTCTTTTGTTCCTTTTCATTTCCTACATTTTCAGATGGAAAGTGCAGGTGGCTTCAAAAGGCCTCTACTTTCGTAAACCAAAGGTGAGTTGGACCTCTTGTTTTGAATTCTTATCATCAATGTTCAGTCTTGTCTTTACTTGCAGATATGTTGTGACTCAGTCAGCCGTACATGTAACACACATACTGCACGTCCTCTTCAGGTTCTGTCCATGAACAACTACTTCTCTGTGGGACCTGATGCTCTGATGGCGCTCAACTTCCACACGCACCGTGAGAAAACGCCCTCCTTCTTCTCCAGCCGCATCATCAACAAGGTTCGGTTATTCTCTTCATTTGAAGACATAAATCATGTGCAAATGTTAACTGAACTTGAATAATCATAGTGAAGCAAGGCTTTATCACTGAATATGCCGGCTTTTTTATCGTCAGAAACATCAGAGAAACAAAGTGCTTTACGTTGATGCCTACTTTTCTGTTTATTTCCCCCACAGACTGTATATTTCCTGTATGGCACCAAAGATTGTTTAGTGCAGGAATGTAAGGATCTGGATAAGAGGATTGAGGTACAGTAGCCTTGTGCATGTGTTGATGCTTCATGTCACTTCTGTTTTCACCTGTGTGGTTCATAGAGTGAAACGGTATCGGACAGCAATTTCCTTATTTCTGATATTCATGGCTGAAAATCACTGACTTATGACACCATAAATTAAGTTTGACCTGCTTGCTTAAACATGGCTATATATACATACATGTATGTGTGTGTTCCTACCACAGTTGGAGTTGGATGGGGAGAGGGTGGCGCTGCCCAGCCTGGAGGGCATCATAGTTTGTAACATTGGCTATTGGGGTGGCGGCTGCAGACTCTGGGAGGGTATGGGGGATGAACCCTACCCGCCCACACGGTAAGACCTGCACTGGCAAACAGGACAGTGAGAGATAACAATTACAAATTTATTTTTATTGACCATGTCAACTCGTGCGATACACGCATCATGAAGACTGAAATCCCTAATATTGCACTCAGGGTTTTCTTTTGTTCATTGAAAGAGAGTTTCAGTAGAAAATTGCACTTTAAAATGTAAATTGAATTATTTTTTTATTGGTGCCTTTTGTGTTCAGTTCAATTTGTTCAATAAAAGAACAGTAAATAATTTAAATCTTTTAATTCAACAAGCAATTAGTTGTATTTCTGAGGCAAACTGAAAGCAGCAGAAAGTCAGAGGCGAGTACATCTTCAATATCTGTTTAATATCTCTTAATTCATCGCAGTTATTCGAGATATTCAACAAAGTTATCGCACATTTTCCTCATATTGTTCAGCCCTACTGCGAGCATCAATTAATGCGTCGCGGATCATCAGGAGTGAGAATAATGAATTCCTCGCTATTCATGTTATGGTATTCTTACTCAAGTGTGTATACCAGTACCCCGGGTTACCATGCCAAGTAATAGCGAACAGCAGTGATGTTTCCCGTCCCTGCAGGCTGGATGATGGTCTGCTGGAGGTGGTGGGTGTGTTTGGCTCCTTCCACTGTGCTCAGATCCAGGTCAAAATGGCCAATCCTGTACGGCTGGGACAGGCCCACACTGTCAGGGTGAGGCAATGACACACACACACACACACACACCTCTTACTGTTGGCCTCAATAAGTGGAGAAACACAATGAAATTAGTTTTCACTGCCCTTTGCTTCGTCACAGCACTTGATAATCTGATTTTAAACTAATCCGATCAAGCGTATGCTACTCGGCTCCTGCATGTGCTCATATCCTTTCTTGTTGAGTGGGACTGTGACAACCACAGGAAGCACAACAAGGAAATCATTTTAATACTTTTTGAATACTTTACATAGTTACTGGATGTATACGGTTTTTGAAAACAACGATTTTAACCAAGGGTGAAGGTTTGATGTGGGGGAGCACAACGTCAAGGTTAAAAAAGGAAACAAATAAACTTTGTACGTGTCATTACTTGCATTTGTTGGCATTTTTATCAGATTAGCAAATAACACGGAATGATGAAATTAATATTTAAGCCTTACATTAAAATTGGCTGTCAAAAAAATGCTGTGTTGAACTTCTTCTTTGTTACTAATGGCATAAATCTACTGGAAATAATATTGGATTTAGTTTCACTGATAGAGATTTGACAACAATTGATCATCTTGAAAAAAAATGAATTATTGTATCAAGAGCACCTGTCCTTAACTGCCTTGCCTTTATGTGATGTTCAATTTTAGAGAACATACAATAACATGTACATTACAACAGAATTTAAGTGGTTCTAAAAAAATTGCAGAGGACGATGCATTTTGCATCATGGTCTGTAGCCTGAGGAGCAACTCAGGGCAGCAAAACCAAACTAAGAAGAAGCTTACGTTGACTTTCGCCTTGCTGCAAACCATTCCCTCAATTTTAGACTGTAAAGTTATTTCAAATATTAAATGAGGAGATGCAGTCCGGTGGATAACGGCAACATGTAGAGGAAGGTAAAATGTGTAGCAACAGAGTTGTAACCTTCTGTCACCAAATTAAAATATAGAACAGAAATAACAGTGAGTACCAGATGATGGTAAGCGGCATTAATACAGTTTATCTCATATTCAAGTGTCGGGGGTTATCTTTCCTTCTCTAGCTGGTTCTCAAGAGCTCCAAGATGCCCATGCAGGTGGACGGGGAGCCGTGGGCCCAGGGTCCCTGCACCATCACTATCACCCATAAGACCCAGGCCCTCATGCTGTACCACAGTGCCGAGCAGACGGACGATGACGACGACGAATCCAGCGCCTCTGAGACAGAGAGCCCCACCCCTCACGACTCACCCAGGCCCCCGGGGCCGGCCTCCGCCCGTGCATGACCCGCCCCAGACGTGTCATGGGATCTGAAGCTCCTCTTATTTAAATCTCTGTCTTATTTTCTGCAGCCCAGTTTCTATTAATCACTCCGCTGCAGTGGCACTTCGTCTTCATCCTCTAAGATCTTTGAACACACTTTATCCTCCAGTCACATTGATACGAATAGGCGTTATCATTTTCCTGTTCGGGTTACACACATTTCATATGTTTTCAGAGAGCTCACTGGGGTGAAATGGGAGAGTTTGGAAATGGGCTGGTGGGATTTGGTTCTTTTTAAATATTCTAACCCAGAGCTCAGGCAGTCGTCCGTCCCCCACCCCCCCACAGGTGAGACAGCCAGGAGGAGGTGAATGTTTGTGAGAAAGATTGCCGTTTACTGGCACTGATCCCTTGTGCCATAGTCAACTATAAAACTGTATTTATTCTACTGTATTTACGATTGAATGCCCAGTGTAGCCCTGCAGGTATCTGTGAGACATTCAAACCAAACCCACACAAAGCCATGTCTAAATCAACAGCAAGTGATGAAGCATTAATACAGTGAAGGGGAGGTTTCGCTAAAGATGCATCCATAGCTTTATTGCTTTTTTTTTTTTTTTTTTTTTTTTTTTTTAACTCCAGAAAGAGCAAAAACATTTTGTGTGAAATGTTAAACTGCTCAGATTATCTGTTAAATTCCCCCTTCAGGCTCCAAATCACCGTGATTTTGGTTTTAAAGTGTCTCCTGCATTTGCAAGATAAGGCTTTGAAATGTGTGTGAAAGCCAAAAGGTCTCTGAATCTGATGGAGCAAGGGCTCTGTTACAACGGCAGTGTGTTGTTAATCACTGGACGTGTTGGTTTGCTTACTTCATGGTGCCGTCTTAAGTAGCTCACCAAACTGCTAGATTGTACGACGATACAGTCTTGAAACTATATATTTCCTGTAAAAGCTACAGGAAACAGCCTGACTTTATTTTGAAAGTACTGCCAATTAACTTTTGCCTACTTGTAAAACCTTTTGTTTTTTCCTTTTCTTTACATTTTTCTTCCTGTTTACATATTTTGTGTTGCACTGTTTTGGCACTTATACTGATAAATACCTTACACTGCGTAGGATGTAGGCTTTATACATGGAACCGTAATGCCGACACTTGATGTTGCTGCCAATAGTGATAACTGCTGATGAGATTAAGCTGTCCCGTGTTGTTGTTTTACGTTATTCACGTTATCCTCTTGCACTTCATAATTTGTGGTTTAACAAATAGTCACCACAAGGTGGCAGACTAAAGACAGTATTATCTGTAGCTTGTCTCCTTAACTGCTACAGTTTAACACTGAATACCATCAGTTACTTGCATGTACTTCTCTGTGTAGTGTTCAGTTGAGTTGCATCTTCCTTGTTCTCTACCTAATGTGTGCAAGAGGTCATTTGTGTTTGTCAGTCGAAAACTTGTAGGGAAGTTAATGTTACCACTTGAGGTGGTCCTGTTTATTGCAGAATGGTTGCCTGTTGCTCACAGCCATATCAGAAAAGCCTGTCGTATGTTAGTTTATGCTTTCTTATAAACCTGGAGCCAACATGCTGCACATAAGGCTGAACAGGGATCAGTTCTTAGCCCAGGATGCCTATGCTTTTGGAATATGTACCTCTTTGGTAGATAACCAAGCCTTGTGGTTTCGTCACCCTCCATTTGTTTGGTGAATGTCTTCTTGCTCAAGGACACCTGTTTGATCATTTACCTTATCATCATGTTTACCAGAGTTGTGTTGCACTGAAATAGCTTAAATGTAACTGGGCTTTACTGTCAGGTTTCTCAGCCACGCTAGCAGCATGGCTCTAGTTCAAGACACTGTTTTTAGAGTGAAATACCTCGATAACCGTTTAATGAATTGTCCGGCAATTTGGTAAAAATATTGACGGACGCCTGAATAATGAATCCTAATGATTTTGTTGATGCTGAGTATTTGGTTAGCACCACAGTTGGTGACTATCGGCAACTTAAAATGAGTCAGCGAGAGGATAAGTAGGAGAGACTAACCTGCGGACGCGCTGGTTGTAAATGATTCGCGGATCCAGTGGCTGAGTTTGTATTTTTATTTTTCACAGTTTAGTGTTTTAATAAAGTCAAAACCCACAAACGACAAACAAACTTTGTGTTCAAACTTGCCTTCTCCTTGTTGTACAAGGGTGATCGACAGCGTCCAGTAATGATAATAGTAGTGAAAATAGTTTATAGCGGTCAACAACAAATAAGACTCCCTCTCTCAACCCCTCTCCTTCCATTCATCCAACTAAACTACATATCCTCATTGTTATCCCCAACACCATGTGACTCAACTACCGGAAGTGACAAAAAAGGGTGTACAAAATGACACAGGCCATACCTGGCTCCTACAACCACCAATGGATCACATTTGTGCTAGTCAAATACTGTAGTACTTGACGTGATACTCGATGTAAATTACTGACCGGATTTCTCTCAACCTCAGCTGTAGTTTGAGACAAATGCTAACATGCTAAATATTAGCACAATACATCCTTACTGTACATATGACAGCACATGCTAGCCTCCAGCTCAAGTCAGAGTGGGACCTAAATACAGGTGTTGGTTGCAGCTTAAGGCTTCACTCATAAATATTTTTATATTAACAATGAATAGAATTACTATGTGTAATGTAAAACCTCCACATCTGAGATGGTTTGCTCAAATCTTTACTTGCGTTATTTTTTTCCCACCTGCATTCTGTGAAGAAGGCAATGAGTGCTAGCCCATCACAGGCAGAGTAGGGCGAGTTTTCGCAGAATACGGGTCGATCAACATTTCCAGAAAAGTCTTGCACAGTTGTTGCTCGTATGCCATTGGTTAAACTACCGCGTGCCAAGTGTGTCTAAGATTGCGGACCCCTGCTATAGACCAAAACAGCTACAAAGAGAGTGAATATTGTACTTATAGTTGTTAGGTTGCCAGAAACATGACTTCAAATGAATGCTTATATTGCTCTGCTGGATGATAAGTAGGCTTTTGTTTGGTAATATATTTGGAATAGCAACTTTGTAAAGCCATAATATCCAAGTGGGATGTCGCTTGTTGTGGAGTTATGCCCCTAACTGGCTGAAGCAAAAACCTGATTATTCAGCTTTGATCTGATGAGAGTTGACAACGTAGAGCTGAGCCTGATGAGGTGTTCGCAGAAGTCTGCTAGCGTGGCTAAAGACCTTTACTTGTTTTCTTGTTGAGGGTGGAGCAACATGACCGTGATGTTATTGGTTGTTTTGAATGTTTCCCTTTCAATCCTGTTAGTTTATTTGTTAAATCTTGGCAGATACAGAACTGTATTTATATACTCAGTTTCTCAAGGCAAATTTCACTGTGTACCAAAATGCTTTGATTATTAGTTGATGTATATATTTGAATATGCTTACTTTTTTTGCAGTCAAATATCTATAGAGATAAGAGAACCCTAAAAGTTGATAGGAATGTGCAGAAGCATAATACATTTGACTTTGACCACGATATGGTCCTTATGTGGCCTCTGCTAAACAGGAACGAGAATACAAAGTAAGAGAGAATAAGCTTTTATTGGTAAGTCATGTAAATCATAGCAGTTTACAAAAATAAAGAGGGTTTGGTGAAATTGTTATTACAGGTGACAAAAACAGATTTTGATTGAACTGAATGTATTGAAGCGATCTTTTGAATTTGAAGACATTCCCATAAATATTTTCATAAATAAGCATCATGTCTCTGTGCTTTAATTGTGATATTATACATTTCTTGAAGAATTTGAGGGGGGAAACTGCTCCCATGATCCCGAGTCAGAGATCACAGCAGCCAAACGGTAATAATGACATCATTATATTGTTAATCATTTACCAATTTAACAAATGCTGATCTCAAATTGCTTGGAAATGTTTATTTTAAAGCAACTGCATATCCAGTGACTATTGTATAAAGTAATGCAAAATAAGCGCCAAAGGCTGGCTTTATATATATATGTGTATGATTTTTAAGATATATAGTAGTGCCAGTTATTTTTATTAGGCTATGGATGGTGTCTAGTTGGTTTTATCTTCTGGGGTTGTAGAAGTGATAGGAGTTTGGCACATTTCCTCCTGGAGCATTGTGGGGCCTTTTGTCTTGTTCTGAAAGGAAAATATACAAAAAGGTTTCTTTTGTAGTTCCCCCATATTATGAGAATTGTGTCACTTGCCAAACTGATACTTGAATTGAATTCTTTCAAGCTAAAGTACAACAGTGTGTGTGTGGGAACTCTTGAACTTGTCGTTTTTAACCTAAAATAAATGTTTTCTGTAGTTGCTGTGAATGCTACAATTCCAAATGCAACTCGTAATTCAGGTTGTGCAAGTCTATAAAAGAGTTATAAGCTGCTGTATTTATTTATTTAAAAAAAATTCCCTGAGAAGCTTGTCACTGCTGACTCTACTGTACTGACACGTGGAAATTACTTGCTGGGCCGTCACAAGGGGGAGGGACATTGACATGCATGCACATGAATCACAGTCACATGCAATATTCCAGTTTTACTTCACGCAGGTCCGGTTCTTAAGCATTGCACCCTCAGTCTGTCAATTTAATATTTTGCACCCTCAGTTGAAACTTTAATAATAGATGCCAAGTGTAAGGTGGTAGTTCTTAGCAGCACCATCTATTTTAGTTCATGTATGTACATCAGCGCAATGTGCTAAAGGGCTAGGTGGAGGTTGATATTGATCAGTGGGTGAGGTGGTTATTAAATACACTCTCAGCCGGTCGCATCACTGGTCTCATAGCTCTGAAACAGTTAAGTGTGATAATGACGGCTCTGCAGACTTCATTAGAATTGAAAAACAAGCGCAGATGAAATGTTATACAAGCAATGGGCTTGACTTTGTGGTACGATACACTTCATGCAATCGTGCCAAAACACAAAGGTAAACTCACCAAGGCCACGAGGTACTCAGCAGTGTGTGCGCTGGTAGTTCCGTTAGCTGTTGGCGTTTTAGCGGTTAGCCAGACACCGTCCAAAACAGTAGCAGTGTGCAAACTGTTTCCGCCTCAATGTGTCTCTGGCTGTAGACTAGTGGCTGGGGGCCGGACATGCCCTGAGCTGTGTTATCACTTGGAGCCTCAATCAATTAATCCTAATTCAAGACGGTTCTCTACTGGGCAAGATAAACTGATGTAACACACTGGTCTACATGTTCACTGGGCCACCACCTTCATAGTAAATACTGATGACTGATGCCTTTTAGAAAACAACGCCCAATTCCAACACTTGTGAAAGCATATCAGGGGAGGCAGTGAGATGCTTTTCACCCCGCCTTTAAGTGTGGTCATTATATGTTTGTATTTTTATTCTGTTGTCTTTTCTTATTGTTTTGTTGTAGTCTTCGATCAATCTGTGGCACAATCATTTCCTTTAGGATTGATAGCGTTCTTTTTTTATCTTATCGTATCTTAGGACCTGGTTCATTACAAGCATACTGGACACTTTAATAAGTGTGCTACATTAACTGACATTAGAAACTTGACTTAAGAGCATGCTTAAAGGGTAGCTATTATTACCTGACTAATTCATACCATCATGGTTTAGCATGTATTATTGAAATGATTCTGATGGCATATGTTTTAAGAAGAGAAGTGATACAATCTCAGTGTCCCAGGATTACATATCTATCCGTCTGTTAGTCGTTTTGTATCATACTATTGAGATCAATATAATAATTTGATAGTGTGTGTGAGTGTTGTATAACTTACTTGTGTTTTGTCCTGGCATAAATAGGGGACCCTGATAAGAGCCTGGTGGCTGGCCCTGCACATACTGAGGTGGATTCCAGCCTGCTTGTGACCCCATAAAAGAATACATTTGTCCAGGAACTGGCTGGAATAATGGATTGATGAGTGGACGACCTGGACTGTGCGACCTGGGCTGCCTTTTCGGCTTTGGAGGCTTGATTACTTCTGAAACAGAGAAAGTGAAAGCAGACGATAGTGTTACAAAATGCTCGTCAAATTGTTTTACTTTATTTATTTGTTTTTCAGCCCTATCAAAGCACATATGTGCAAGAAATACCTTCATACATCTCTCAAAACGTAGGTAAGCACACTACATTCATATATTGACGTAAAAATACAGATTTATCATTGTTTTCTGTGACTTAAAGGCTGTGCAGTACTGTGTGTAAATGTTTATCATACACGCGGGCAGATATTTTATGATAAGCACATGTTGACTACAGTAGATACTACTGTATTTAGATAAAACCTTCATAGATATTAATATACCAGATTCAGTTTGAGATCCAGTACTTGCAGGTGCTGAGACAGGAACTGCTTTTTTATCTGTGAATGTTAAATGGACTACAATTAGAACATCTCAGGAACACAAGGCAAATCATTTTATATTTCCAGTAGCCCACCACCACAACAACGAAGCGTTAATAAAGTCAACACTTTCATTTAATCTCCAGTATCTCTCACGACACAAACTCACCAGATGCAACGATCTCAGTCTTAAGTACTGCAACACAATTGGACAAGATTGGCTTCATTATAATTTCATAATACATTTCCAAACGTAAAATCTCCCACTAACAATGTAGCTGCACATTCACCTGGTTTAAGTATGAGTAGTCTGGCCTCAACAGGCTGTTTAAGGATCTCTGTCAGATGCTCCTTCAGGAGAGCCGAAAAGGCCTGTGTTGCCGTCACCTTCTTGGAGTCCAGGGTGATTTGAGGGGCAGAAGGGTCTTCAAACTTTGTAGCTTTGAAGTCAGTTGAACCCTGTAAGGAAAAAATACTGATTAATGGGATGTGTCTGCAAGACATGGCTTAAATAGGTGCAGGGTGTAGCAGCATCTAATGTCTATCCTTGTTTCGATATTACCTCTGGGGCCAAAGTCAGAAATGTTCAAATTAGAGCTGCAATTGATGAGTATTTAGTTTATCCATTAATCAACATATCATTTTCTCAACAATTGTTAATTTCAGAAAATAGTAAAAAAAATACCGGTTATAACACTCAACAGCCCAGGCAGACATATTCAAATAGGTTTTTTTCAATTTAAAGTTCAAAAACAAAAGATATTTGAATCACAATCATATATCACTGAGAAAAGCATCAAATCCTCACAAGCTGGATCCAGCAATTATTCGTTTTTTTGCTTTAAAAATAGAAAAATGATTGACCAGTTAATATCAAAATAAAATCAATAGTTTCTTGTTAATTTTCTACAAATTGCTGCAACTCAAGTGTAAATTCAACACATTTGCTTTAATACAAATTGTGTTGGCTGCCACATCCACCCAAATGACATACAGGCCAATTCCTTCCTTCTTTCTCGCCTCAAACATGCTGTCCCAGGTATGGATGAAGAAGGGCCCTTTTGAAATAACATGAGAATATTTCAAGTGTATATGACATAAGACCAGTTTCCCATTTTAATTGTCATTTCTCTCTCTCTGCACAGTCTATTCTGTCTCATCTGGCTTTAGGCTGAACCTCAATTCCCCTCTCTTTTCCCTCCCCTACTTCATCTTCCTGTGACAATGTTCATCCCACCTGTAGAAAGGCCAAGGTTTGGGATTGATTCAGCAGGCTGTAGATTTGTTCTTTGGCTTTTGTCATTTTGACAGTATTGTCAGTCAACCTCTTCATGTGGTCCCGAAGATTTCTCTGGCAAATGTCCAGCTCGTGGTCCACGTCATGCTGGGCCTGACGTTCTTCTTGGTCCAACATATCCCGCATCTGCTGATACACAGCTGCCAATGTGGTCTTTCTTTTGGTTGCTGCATCCTAAAAAAAGGACCATGAGAGGAGCCATGAATAAATACATGAACATAAAGCCTAATTAAATGGACATTCTGACATGATGTAATTGCCATCTTTTCTTTGGTAAATGAATACCTAATTGATTTGTTTCCTGTTTTGGGGAAAAAACTAAAATATAATGGATAAGAATTACCTTCAGCTTGCTCTGCGTGTCATTTATTTGAAGCACAACAGTCTTAGTCTTCTCAATTTTCCCATCCAGCAAACCCAGCTTGGCTCTCAGGCCAAGCTACAAAGACAGATATGAAACATAGCTTCAGTACACAGAAAATTATGTTTATGTTCAGCTCACTTGCTTGCTACAGCCTCAATGGAGGGCCTAGAGCAAAATGCAAACAATCCTTTATATATTACATGGACACCATCTGGTTTATTCCTGCAGCTTACTCTTTAGACGGCAGCACCAAGGGTCACATGTTTTTATGATGCTAAAGTGCATTTATAAGCAACAGCCTACTGCAATAGTCTTGAATGCCTGAAACCTTAGTAATAGATGTCCCTCTGATTGTCCATTTCTAAGTTAACTTCTAAGTTTGTTTTAGAGAGTTTGATGGGAAGATTGATATCACTCCCATGTCTGTAACGTTACAGTAAGTGTAGCAGGAGCCAGTAGCTGACTTAGCTTCACAAAGACAGAAAACATGGAGAAACAGGCAGCCTAGCTCTGTCCAAAGGTAAAATAAATCTGCCTATCAGCACCTCCAGCGCTCACTAATTAAACGGTTATATCTTGTACATATGGACAGAGCCAGGCTAGCTGTTTCCCCCTATTTCTGGTCTTTATGCTAAGCTAAGCTATCCGGCTACTGGCTCCTACATATTTTGTGCAACGTAACAGTCATGAGAGAGATGTATCAATCTTCTTGTCTAACTCTGGGCAAGAGAGCGAACAAGCATATCTCTCAAAATATGCCTTTAAAAGGTGAGGACTGGCCAAAATGTCCTCACTTTCTACTTAGTCCTCCCTCTGAAGGTTGAAAACTCACAATTAGTCATCACAAAGACAGATGTACAAGTACACACACACACCTCTTTCAGGTTCCTCTGCTCCTCGAAGGATATGAAGGAGCAGCCTTTGTGCACCTGCTGGAGGCAGAGGCTGCAGATAGTACGGTTGTGTTTGCTGCAGAAAAGCTCCATCAGCTTGTGGTGGTCCGGGCAGATCCGCTCCGACAGGTCTCCGAGGGGCTGACTCAGCTGGTGGAGCCTATAGGTCGGGTTTTCCCGGTGAGGCCGCAGGTGCTTCTCGCAGAAAGAGGCCATGCAGGTGAGGCAGGTCTGAGACGCTTCTGCTTCCATACATGTATCACACCGTATGACCTCCTCTTTCTCGGCTTTGCTCTCCTCTGCTATCAGGCTGGCCTCGCTCTTGCTCGTCCTCAAGTTGAAGGTCTCCACGACGGTGCTGAGGACCGTGTTTTTCTTCAGCTCCGGTTTGGTGGCGAAGTGGGTCCGACACTGAGGACAGCTGTAGGAGTCCTTCCAGGTGGCGAGGAGGCAGTCCTGGCAGAAGTTGTGTCCGCAGGGGATGGTCACCGGACAGTCAAAGGGACTCAAACAGATGCTGCAGGTCAGCTCATCCTCCAGACTAATCAGAGAAAACGGACTCGCGTCCATTTCGGCCATGATGAAGCGTCGGGAGAGGCTGCGAGGGCAGAAACGAAACTTAACGCGTCAACTGCATGAAAACGAAAGTGAAGAGCTACTAGTTTCGAAAGGCAACATTTATTCTAAATGTTTGGCGTATTATGTTACCAATATAACATTTAATATTTTAACAAACTATAATAACAGTGTTAAATAACTCTGTTAGTGTAAAATGTGAATCTTAAAACGAGGTTTGGACATTCAGCGCGACGCCGAGTTCGGCAGTCAAGTTTACATTTACCTAGTATCTATTTACCTAGACACTCGGAAACAAATACATATATATATACAGTATATATACAGTATGTTAATCTCCGACAGTAGGTCTACCTTGACTCCTCAGGTGTACAGCTGTGACGTTGTGCTGCGGTCCTGTCTGTAAGTTAGACAGGTTAGACAGGTTAGACAGTAGACACTATTTTTTAATGGAGATTTTCCTCTATTTTTTGACCCCTCGTCTACACACAAACATAGTTTTAGCTCACTAACACGGACATTTTTTAAGACGCTCACTACTTACAACTGTGTCGACAACGGAGCGTTGGAAAAACTACTCTGTCATCGCCCCCAATTCGCGCATGCCCAGTGTTGCTTTGTGTAATTAGCATGTGCCAGAAACAACAGCAGAGATTGCTACTACCTCAAAACTGTCACCAAAAATGGTGAGTGCAAAGTATCAAGAGTCACAAATGGTAATGGCTAAGAATGAAGACCCCTTAGATACAGAGGGTTTCTAATTCTGGGACATCACCAGGTTTACCAGCCTAATAATGGTAAGTTTAAATCAATACAGTTGATTCTCAAGTTCTATGTCCCTGTGTCCGAATATGACCAAGTCTACATGAGCGTCCCAGGAGAGATGCTCATGCGGATGCTTCAGGCGGCTTCCGTTCCTCTCGTTGTGACAACTCTGATGACGGGTAAGCCACAGGAGTATTTCACACACTGGTAACTGTTACAACATGCTGTGTGTTTGGCAAGTTGAAGCTTATTAAACCTTCAAGGGAGTCCGTATAACACTTGATCAACACCAGCCACTGTGGACACCAGTCACAATGACATGATCAAAGTGGGTGAAACTTCCACTCTGGCTTTTGTACACACAGGATGTACTGGCTTCCTTTATGTGTATTACATAACATAGCTGGTTGACTCTGACTGTCACGGCAGTACAGTATGTAATAAGTATATTACCTGCTCCAAATTAGTCAAATCCTCCAACGCCACAACGTCTCTTTTAACTGCTACTCATACGACACACAGATATGCCTTGCTGTGAGACTTGATGACCCAAGAAGCCTGTAACTGCTTGAGTGAAGTCAACTGTTGGATGGCTGAACATTTTCTTCAACTCAATATCTTAAAATTAGAAATCATATAGTATACTCCCCCAAACCCCATGAGTCCCATTGAAAGCTTCCTTGGTCCCTTATCTGACAACATAAAGCCCACTGCCAGAAATTCCGAGTAAGTACTTTTTGATTGAAGCTTAACCACAAATCAAAAAACTTGATACGTCCTGCTTCCTTCAACTAGGAACCATATCCAAAATCAAACCTATCCTCTTACCCTTCGATGTGAAGTCATTCATGCGTTTATCCTCTCAAGACTTGACGACTCTAACTTCCTCCTCTCTGGCATCAAACAAAAGTCATTCTCTCGCCTTCAACTAGTTAAGAATGCGTTAGGCTTCTCACAGGTTTTAACAGACAACATCACATCCCCACAATTCTGGCTTCTCTCCACTGGCTCCCTGTTTGTTTTAGAATTGATTTTAAGATTTTACTGATCACTTTTAAAGCTATAGGTCTGGCCCCAAGCTATAGCAGAACACTGACCCCATGAGCCAGCTTGCAGCCTTAGATACTTGGAGGGGGCCCTTCTGACTGTTGCAAAGTCAAAGCTAAAAACTAAAGATAACTGTGCTTTTGCCATCAGGGCCCCTCGGCTTTGTATCGACCTACCTGAGGAGATAAATTCTTTCAGAATCAGTGATCTCTTTAAAATTGCCTCTTAAAACTGACTAGCTTTAAGGTGATGTCGTCATTTTACTGCTTTTATTCTTTGTAATGTTTCTATTGCTTTTATTGCATTTTCATATTGTATTGATTTGTCAAAATGTTTTATCCATTGTACTGTTTTATCTCAATTTTAAATTGTAGTTAATTTTGTCTTGCTTTTGTTTGACCTCACTGTTTCTGTTGTTATATTGGCTTGTATCTTGCTTTTGCTTTGTTTTGTCTGTCAAAGCACTTTATAATCTCTTTTTTTTTTTAAAGGTGCTGTTTAAATAGTCATTTTTATTTAATAGTATAGTTGCCCAGTAGAAGAATTTCAGTGCTGTTTCGTAGCATAGGTGGTGCTTATTTATTGATTGTCTGGTTACGGTTATGAGAATGTTCATAAAGTTTTAACATAGATCATTTTTCATTGGAATAATAACTCATTTGAAATCAACTATATGCTTTTAATAAAGCCACGTTTTACACTCAAGCAGGCACTAAGTATCTGAATAATACAGCATTTTACATACTGACACCAACATACTGTGTCTCAAACACTCGTAAACTGTTTGTTCTGAGATGTAACTGTGTTCCCCTCACTTTCCATTACATTACCCTTAATGTTACACTCATATACTGTGTGACCTCACTGACTCTCCAACCTGTAGTCCTCAGACCGTAACTTACATTGTCTTTTCCAGGTGTTTCTGGTCCAAGAGTTGACACTTCCAGAAAAAGTCGCTGTACGTGCAGCAGCATAGTTTGTCTTTACCATTCTTCTGTCTGTGACTTTAGATAAGAGAAATATTTTGACGTGTTAGAGGGAAAAGTTCAGATGTTATTAGTGAGCCAGCATGTAGGCTGCAATATTAGAGCTGATTAACAACTAAGTGTAATCCATTTATCAATATTAATCATTACAATCGTGTTTGACAAGTCACAGTGTCTGCTGTGAGCGGGCTATTCTTATACAAAGTAGTAGTGAGTTTGTTTGTGGTCACAAAGAGCCACAGTGCAGCTACTAAACCCACACAGGTGTTTTCGCCTGGTGGCTAATTAGACTGCTGCTCAAGTAGAGGGTGGCAGAGCAATGCTGAATCAAATAATGTGATGTCACCAAACTTCATGGACCAATAAGAATGATGAATGTGTACCGTCTCCCACATTAGCACAGTTGCAACAAAAGTCGTTTTATAATGAGTTTGTATTATGATTTAATCAGCTGAAAGGATTTTATTCTCATTAGTTGACAGGAAGTCAGTATCTGTGTATCAGACACAGTAGAGTGAGGGTGCCCTTTAAGAAGGATTATTGAGTTGGTATGTATGTTATTGTAATGATTTTACTTCATTAGTTTCATTTTATTTTTTTGATTTATAATGCAGTTGCCCAAATGATAGATGTACAATGTAATGCTTGATGTCACAGATCTAGTTACTGAATTGAATAGAAATTTTGAATTGATTTTATCGATCTATTAAATATAATTGAATTGAGCTGAACTAAATTGTACACACTTCATTTGAATTGTATTGATGAAACAGATGTACTGTAATTAAATTGAAAATGTATGTAAATTGAATTGATGTAATTGAATTGAACTAGATTTATTGGTAAATAAATATTAAAGAAACTGCAGTCATGTATTTTAATATGTTATAACATAATAGTAAAGTGTGTGAAATGTCAATCTTAAACTATTCTTTTACTGCAACTGCAGAATAAGGCACCCTGTGATCTAGGAGGCTAACCATGAACTGCAGTATCTACCCGTTCAAGTCCAGTCAGGGACCTTTTTTTCATCTCTGTCCCTCATTTCCTGCCCTCTCTCTACTGTCTACAGTAATAACTACAATGCCACCAAAATACGCAGTGTCACATTTTGTGTTAAAAATTCAAAGCACAAATAAATTAATATTTTCCTTTTTTGTTGCTGAGGGATAATTGATCATTGAGAATATTAAGCATAAGTATTTGTCAAATTTTCTCAAGTGTGTGTGTGTGTGTACACAGAATGGTCTGAAAGAAACACTTCAGTATTTCTTTTATTTATCAGAAATGTTTACAAGTCACATATCTGCAGCCGGGATATACAGTGAAAGCTGAAATGCAGACATATCATGTAGGTTTTATGTTCACCTCAGTCAGAGTTTGCTCACTGAAATACGTTCTAAATATGTTCTTAAAATAAACTTACAAGTGATCAAGAGACCTGACTTCAGGAAATTACTTCCACATGAACTCTATGTATGTATTTACACAAAACTGTGACACTGCAGCTCTAAATCTTTTTACTGTCGGAGTTCAGTTGCTGTTGATGTGTTGCTTTTCCGGATGCTGAGTTTTATTTTGGCCACTGTTGTTGGCCTCAGTGAGTTGGTGAAGGTCCTTCAGCAGGTCTGCAAACTGCTCCTCCTGTGAGCACATAAAACAGATATCAGTATGTATTTATCCGGTCACTCATGGATGCTATTCAACCACTGTGTACTGTCAAAGAAGGGGTTTCACCCCACAATATAATTAATAACAGCTCATTATTTATTCAACTGCAGGCAAAACATTTAAAAGGGCAGCAAACACACTCACAAACACACTCACATGTATTTAAAATATTTAAAAAATTAGCATTGAATCACACAAATCGTGCAAATATACTGCTAAAACATTTGAAATGAATGCTTTTCACCTTGAAGCTGCAGAAGTTAACAAATTGAACTCAGTAGTTACAAGTTAGCCTGTGTTTAGCAATGAACTATACACTACAGAGTTTTATTATTATACAAAGTTCAGTGCAGTTTTGACTGACATGTGGATGAATAGATAAAAAGTGAATTATGAGATGAACTAATGAAGTTTGAAAATCAGCTTTTTCCGTCTTCTTACCAGTACGTTCATTCTCTCGGCCGCTGCAGTGGCAACACTTAGCTTCCTCTCATCTTCCTCCCTCTCCTCCTCAATCACACCAAGCCTGTGACAGATGGAAGATATGTTCATATAAACACCAAAATGACATGGAACCATCTAATATTTTACTGCTAATTAGTAACACTGAACACAGCCTAGCCTACAGCTTTCTACACCCGGTCCAATCTAAGTATTAACAGCTTTATTAATCTTTATGAGACTAATTAAAGTTATAAAGTGTGGAATACAGTATATGCAGACTGAATACACATATTCATGATAAAAACACAAAATGCAGGAAATAAAAAAACTTATTTTAAACTTTTTAAATATAAACAACTGGAAAACTTGCTGACAAATGCAGCATGCACATTACTTTTGAGCTTGACTGTTTTACCTGAAGGTGGCGCTGGCGAGCTGCTCCTCTCTAACATCCAGCTGATTCCGGATCTCGGTCACCTCAGCCTGCAGCATTGCATTCTGGTCCTGGCTTTGGATAATGAAGTCCTCCAGGCGCTTTGCCATGTCAAGCTCACGCTCTGTCACCTGCTCTATCCCCAGACGGAGCTCTGATAGCTCTTGAGCGTGCTGGGATGTGAATGACAATTTTACATTTCATGAAATTCCATTCCATTAGCTATACCTGCTTATCCTTTCATGGGGGCCGATCACAGCTGACATTGGGCGAGAGGTGGGGTACACCCTGGACAAGTCGCTAGTCAATCACAGGCCTGATAGCCATTCACGCTCACATTCACACCTACAGGCATTATAGAGTCACCAATTAACCTAAGCTGCATGTTTTTGGAGCACCTGCAGAAAACTCACTCAGGTCCTAGGAGAACATGCAAAACTCCA